CAAGCAGAAGGTGATCATCTCCGACTGTGGGGAGTACGTGTGAGAGGGGAGCTGTCAACCCGGGGACCGGCGCCCGAGGTGTCCGGTTGGCAGCGAGCAGGGCTTCGCGTGCTGGCCCTTCTCGGGGTCAGCGTGGGGCAGCCTCTCTGCAGGCACAGCCTGCGCCTCCTCCGGTCGTCCTCAGGTGTGGCCTTGGGCTCGGCCGCCCTCCCCACCGTGGACAGCTGGGCATGGCCTTTCCAGGCCTTTGCCACCAGGGCTTCTCCTGGGCCCACCTAGTGTGGATCCTGGCTTTATCTTCTGGTAAAAGAAATCCCAGTTCTTACACTGCTGCCATGCAGCCACGTCCCAGGTGTTTTCAGAGGTTGCCGCTCTGACTCACCTGTCCTGTTGCAACAGACGACAGACCCCCTGTGTGGCCTCCCTCCCCTCCAGGCTGCCCGAGAAGCACCCCCTGGTCTGACCGCTGCAGGGTGGCAGCGCATCCTGTCTTCTCTCTCTCACCTGCTACCAGGCAGGCCAGGTAGATGAGCCAGGCTCCAGTCCTCCCCTCACACCTGCTGGCCTTGGGCTAAGAGGCACTGTAGTCAGTCTCAGTGACCTGTTCACGCACTGTGCATTCGTTGGGCCAATAGAATTGTATCATGGCAGAGTTCAGGGCCCTTCTTTTGCCAGGCCCTGTGCTGGGTCCTGGGGAGACGTAAGAAGACAGAGGTGGTTCTTGCCCTGTCCCTGCCCCACTTGGAAATTGAACTCTGGTGCCATGGTTTGTCGCCTGCTCTAGGCTAGCCTCTCACCCTATGCCACCTGACAGCAACTCAAATGTACCAAGGCTGAGCCCCATCAGCCCATCATTGGAAACCTCCTCCAGGGCTGCTGCCTGCTCCCCTGCAGCCGTCTGGTGGTTGTCCGGATCGAGTCTGGATGTTCAGTGACTGCTGGGCTGGGCTCTTCCCTGAGCCTGTGTTCTCATTTTGGGTGGCGATCAGGTTGAGTTGGGAGGGCGGGGTAGCCTGCTGGCCCCTGGCCCCAGTGCCACCAGGCCAGATCCTGCAAAGGGATAGCTGCTAGCCCTCCCCACAGCACCAGTGCTAGCCTGGCTCTCTGCTTTCACGTAGGGCTTCGTCCTCTGTGTCTGGCTGGGGCCGCTCCTATGGCTGAGACCCACTGCCGCAGGATCCCAGCCAGGACCCTCACTTCTTAACATAGGCCCCTTCTCACTGGCGGTCAGCTGTGGCTGTCAGCACAGGCAGCAGTGAGGCCAGGAGAATGCCAGCCACTTGGGGCTGGTGTGATGTCCAAGCGACAAGGGGATGTGTGTGAAGCACTCAGCACGGTTGGCCCTGGGGATGACATGTGGGGGGGAGCAGGCTGGCCTGTGGCCCGAGCAGAGAGGACTGGTCACAAAGCCTGGGAAACAAGGGAAGGGTGGGGGTGGGGAGACTTGGTCACTGTGCTTTCCTGATTGCCCTGGAGAGGGGGGACCAGCAGTCTGGCCAGAAATGCTGGCTTGGGAGGAACCGTCAGGTGGCGATTGCTCACCCAAGGGCTGCCCCAGAAACTATGCCACGGTAATCACCTGTGAGCCTTGTGCAGGTGGCAACCTGAGCCTCAGACCTGATCCAGGTCTTCTGAGCTACTGGCCAGCCTGGTGGCCACACCCTCGCTACCTTCCTTCCTTCCCAAAGCTGCAGGTGATAGGGCTGGGGGCCCCATGCCACCCTCTGGGGAAGGAATAGTGAGCCCTGGTTTCGGAGTAACACAACCTAAGGCAGAAATCAAAGGATGGAAGGCTACTGCAAATTATGTTCCCAAGGGGTATTTAATAACAGAAATGTTCAAAATATGTCATAGATTGAATAATTTAGATCACCAAGCAGTGCACAGAGTATGATCCTAACTGTAAAATAACCCATGTATTATGTAGAAAGACGTATGTGCCACGGAAAAACGACTGGAATTATTAACAATGGTTGTCTCCATGTGGTGAGATTATGTGTTTGTATTGTTTTTTATTTTTAAGAGCATCCCCGACACATGAAATATTTTTGAAAATGAGAAAAGAGGGCCAAATGCTTGCTCAAGGCTTCCCAGTTAAGAACAAAAACCCCAGAAAGTTTCCCCTTGAGCTGCACTTGTGAGCAGGGCCATGGGACAGGTAGGGGTGCAGTGCTGCCCCGTCCTCAGGAGAGACAGGATCAAGCTGTCACTGCCAGCTGGGACCCCCTCCACAGACGGGGGTGGGTGTGCAAGTCCACACCTCACCCCAGATTACCAAATTTCTATTTTTTAAGGAAAAGCCCAGTGAGTACAGTAGCACCTCCAAGGACACATTCTGGGAGGACTGGATTTTAACAGGAAGGCATTCAGGAGAGACCCAAATTTGCAAGTTCATTTAAAATAAGGCCACTAATAATACTGTTCATTCAGCATATGTGTGCAGAATCAGTGTCAAGTGCTCCAGACAGACCTGATCCCCACGCTGGCTCTGCCAGGGCAGAACCCGTAGCCCATTCATTCTGCAGAGAGGAAGTCACCGGCTCTGAGATGCACGTGTGGTCCCATCAACACGAGGCACAGCCAAGATTTGTTGCTGGCAGGTCTGCTGGCTGCCACAGCTACCTTCTCCTGTCATTGCCTCCTTTCCTATGAAATTGTAAGGAACTTTTGGAAGCGTGTCACCCACTTCCCTACATAGAGACACAAGAATAGGGCTTTGTCTGATGAGCTGATGTCTGGTCCAGGCTGGCTCTACAGTCGTGAGGATGTGCACGGGGTGAGGTGGACAAACAGTGCCTTCCATGGCACGGGCCCCAGGCACCACTGCCTTTGTGCCCACCCTCCCCATCATCTTTTACTATGCTGCCAGTGGACCTGAGTTGATCGCCCTTATTTATGCTTCTCATATGTAGCCTTAAATGTGACCTGGACTGCCAAAGGGAACCAGGTAAACGAGATGGCCCTGGTAACTAGCCACTGCCACCTCATCAGCTTTCTGTCTTTAATTACCTCCCTTCTCTGAAGCCTCTTTCTGTTGGATTTCATTCGGTGGCCACATGTATGGTTGAGGGTGCTAGAAGTGTCAGGAAGGCCACAACCACTGGACTTCTGACTTTACTGCACGAGAAGGGAGTTGTGTCAGGATCCTTGTGTTCCTTATGTTCCTCACCTCCGATGGGCAGGGCGGTCACATCTTCAAAACATTCACTTCACAAATTTCGCTGGTGCCTCAAACCATACCAGGTTATGTGCTTAGGCAATGAAGAAACCTAACACTGACATCTGTCAAAAGTTTCCAAACCTCCACTGCCCATAATGTTGCAAGGGGAGAGCTCTGAATCAGGCCCTGAAACAGCAGGCTTCAAGTCCCAGGGCCGCTGGGCACTTAGACATCTTGGCTCTGGGAGAGGAGAGGCTCAGAGTCGTAGGTGGATTCTCTGGCCGGAAGGGCCTTTGGTGATGTGACAGTCCTATGTATGTCCTATGTCAGAGACAGGAAATCGAAGCCTGAATGGAAGGGCATTTGCCCAGACATCAGGCAGGTCAGTGACTGAGCTGAAGCCAGAATATGGGTCTACTGACATCTGTGCTCGTACATGGTCCTCTCACTGCCAGCCTGAGCTCAAAGCCCCAGGCCAAAACGGAGATCACTGTCTTCCTGCGTCCATGGAGGGGTCTCTTCCGGTACACTGGCTCCCAGAATCCTTCCCAGGTCCAGGTGAAGGGGCTGCTGTCCTGAAGCAGGGCCCGCTCCTCCACCCCTGCTGCGCTCCCGGAGACCCTCCAAAGGGCACGAAGTGAACTCCCAGGGTGTCATCCTGGGCTGGGCCTGTGGGTTGGGGCGGGCCCAGGATCTGCTTTTAATGATATTCTGGGGTTCAGGCAGTTGGGTTCTGTCTGGTCCACCAGGTAAATTACAGGCTTACCAAGTCAGAAATCAAATAAACACTCCAGGTGGCCGCTCCAAGGAGAACAGTGGTTTCCGGGAACCTCCCCACCCAGCTTGGCCTAATTGCAGCCTGTCACTCCCCTGGCACGGGGGCCTTAAAGTCTTTGGCTCACAGGCCCCAAGAAACAGGATGGGACTCCAAGGCACACAGGGTGATGCAGACTTGGGTGATCAGCCTGTTATTACCTCTGGGTGCTGGCTGACGCCCTGCGCCTGCATGCATTGGATCGCTCCTCAGCGCTGCAGGAGAGAAAGCAGTACAGTGGACTCAGCACTGCTGGCTACCTGGAATCACAGGCTGAGGACATTGAGGCCCTGTTCAGGGTCCGTGGAAGATGGTGACTGATGGCCATGGGCAAGGGGCTAAGCTGTGACATCTGTGCTGTCAGCCTGGACCTCCCTGCAGCTGTGCCCTTGTTTGTGCTAAGAGTTCACTTCATGCGTAAGTGCAAAGCACCACACGGAGAGATGGAGGGACCTGGAAACCTCCAAGGTTCATTGCTTCCCTGGGGGCCACACCTCTTCCCCAGGCAGGAGAAGGGCAGGCCCAGGGAGGAGAAGATGTCCCCACCAGGTTCACACCTAAGCAGAAGGCCCATTGTTCCTTCCCAATGTGCTAACTGCCCACAGGCCAGTTAGGGACCACTAATACACTATACCTAGAGCATGTGCCCCTCTGACTATGCTGTGCTGGTAAGGGGCAGACCCACACCCAGACCCGTGGTGAGTGGGGCAATCCCTGTCTGCTAGCCTCAGGCTTGTGGTACTCTCAGACCATCCTGGGTCCCAGGCAGCTGGAAAGGGCTGGCCAAGGACAGGTCCTAAGATGGGACTTCTGTGCTGACCGCAGCCTGCATCAGCCACGCGGGGTTGGGTTGGACTGGCTACCACACATCCCAGGGCAGGGGGCAGGGGGCCTGGGGAGGACCAGCCCGTTGGAGGATGTGGGCAGGGGAGGGGGGCCCTCACTGCCGCCCTGCCTGAGCTGTGACGGCGCTGGGGGTCTCCTGGCCCCCGCGCCCGCGGAGAGCCGGCCGGCGGGGGTAGGGTCTCAGTGGCAGCCGCAGGCGCGGACCACCATGTTGCGGTGCTTGCGCAGAATGACGTTGTTGCTGCTGTCGTAGTAGAGCACGGAGGTGGCGCTCAGCTTGGTGGGTGCGCAGCACGCCTTGGGGACCGCGTCCGGCTTCATCAGGTGCACCTGCCGGGGAGGGGGCGGCGGGCAGAGGCGTGAGAACCGCGGGCTCCTCCCGGGACCCCCGTCCCAGCGCCCAGCTCCTGCCGCCTGGGGCTCCGACCCTCCCCCCGCAGCCCGGCCGGGCAGGTGCTGGCGTCAACTCTGCCTCGGCCGGTCCCCTTGACCCTGGCCCTGCCCACTGCCCTCAGGCTCAGACTGAGCATCTGGGGCTCCTGCCACAGCCCCTCCCCTTAGATGGGACGACCCTGACCCTGCGGGTCCCCTGCACCTGTGCCAGCGCCTGCTTGGCCCCGCTGCAGCACCGCCTCCCCGTCCCCCATCCCCTCTGCCCCTCCGTCCCTGATCACTTCTATAACATCCCTGATCGTGTCTTGTCCGCATGAGCCGTTTCTGGTCCATCCGCCCCTCCAGACTGGGAGCCGGTGAAGGTCCCTGTTACACCTCTTAAAGCCCAGACTTCCAGGCTTACTCTTGGGATATCTGACACCTTTGTTTCTCAAAGCACCTCCACTCCCGTAACAACTTCCAGGCAGGGACTGTTCTGGGCGGATGACCGCTGGGGGCACAGGGGCTGAGTCACCTGCACAGTTGCTTGGCTGGGCCAGGAGTAGGCAGAGGGCCGGGAGTCCCTGCTACCCTCCTGCAAACAGCTCTTCTCCTAAAAACAGCCCATCTGAGGAAGCTGGGGCAGCCTCTACACAAGTGTTTAGGCAGAGACTCAGCAGGATGAGCGGCAGTTCATACTGGACTCCTCCTTAGGGCGCCACAGGGACAGGCCCTGAAGGCACCCCAGTGAGTGGGGGCCTGAGAGGAAAGGGAACCTGCATCCATCCACTGGACCTCCCAGCCCTCACCGAGGCCAATGAGCAGGATCAGGATGAAGCTGTCTGATTGGGGGGGGGGGGGGTGTCCTGTCCAGCAGCTTGGCCCGGGGTCCCCAGTACCCAGCCTTGTCCTGGGAGTCCCAGCTCGGAGCCAGCCTGCTGCCAGGACTGTCAGCCAGGCACCAGGCTGGCCTGGGGCCCAGAGCCTCTCTGAGGCCCCAGGGGGAGCTGAGGCCTCTGTGGGGATGTCCAGCCAGATGACCAGTACTGCTCCCCAACTTCCCAGCCTCCACCTGGGGTGGCTGGACTCCACTTGCATAGGCCGACATGAAAGAAACCAGGCGACACTGCCCACCTGTGACAGCCAGCGATGGGGCTCTAAGTAGCTGGAAACCTGGGAGGGCCTTTCCTGGGTTGGGACCCTCAAGAGAGGGGTAGGCACCACAGGGGTGCAGCTGTTCTGGAAGTCCATCCTGGACCAGCTTCACCAGGTGATCGACAGAGAGGACGGTCTTTGCCCTGTCTGCATCAAACAGACTGACCTGAAGCCTAATTTGCCTTTCCATTCAATTCACTTTAGAACCATGTGGGAGACCAAATCAGAGGCTCTGTAACTTATTGCCTGTGCATCCTTGGGGAATAGTCATGCATCTGTGGGCCTCAGTTTTCTCCTCTGCCAAATGGGTATAATGGTATTTTCCTCCCTTCCAACACAAATGTATTTCACATGCCTTGTGCCAACCCTACCCAGGTGGAGAATACAAAAGTGTCCCAGACATGGTCCCCGCTCTCATCCTCAGCAGGAGAGGAGGGGAGACAGGAACATTCCAGCAAACACCCAGGACCCAAAGAGCAGCACAAACACAGCAGCCGTCCTCGCTCTGGGAACATGAGCACTGGAGACCGACGCTGGCTGGGAAGGACCCAGAGACAAGGCAGCAGGGTGAGCAGCAGGAGCTGGCCTGGCCCAGGGCGGGCGAGGAGGCCCTGGGCAGAGGCAGGGAGGTGCGGGCATTGGGACGTGGGCTGGGGGATGCTGGGGAGGTGGGTAGGCCAGTAAGGGGCCCTGAGTCACAAGCCAAAGGCTCAGACTTCTCCCCACGGATAAGGGATGCCACAGGGGGTTTCCTGGCCCAGAAGGAGGTGGTCACATTTGTGCTTTAGTGCCACCCTCTAGCTGTTCCCTCATGTGGGACGTGGCGGGTGAGGCTGGAAGGACCCACTTCCTCCTTGTCGGCCCCAGGACACCCCAGCCACCATCTCACCCCCTTCCCTCCCACCCAGGCTCCCCTTCCTCCCCAGGCCTCTCCAGGGAGGAGGCCCGTCCTTGCCCACCTCTCCCACCTCCGCTGTCCCCCCAGAAAATCTCTTCTGCTCTCACAACTCGGAGACTCCAGATTTGCAGCCCCCCCAACTTCTCATGTAGGGTCCTGCTGGGTCTCACACACATGGGGGTGGAAGCAGAACCGCTGACTCCCTCCAATCCTTTCTTCAACCCAGCACCTTCGCTGCCCTCTCCTTGTCCTGGGGGAGGGTCTCACCTGGAGGCCTGGGCTCCTGCCCTCCTGCCTCCACCGTCCACTTCTCACCCCACCAGGTGCCTGGTCCTCCTGTCAGGACCATAGCAGCTCCTCACTCCTCCCTGCCTCCTCCACCCTCGACATCACGGTCTGTCCTCCTGCAGCAGCCAGAGATGCTTCCAGAGAGTGCCCAGATCATGCCCTGCTTTTCTGAAACCTGCTCCACCCCTCAGTTTACTTGGGATTAGATCCACCACCTGCCACCTTAGGAGGAACCCCGGGACAGGCCCTGCCCAGCCCAACATCACCTGCCTCCGTCCTCCTCCCTTCCAAGCCAGGGTCCTTGAGCCCTCCCAGCTCACCCCAGTCTTCGCTTCCTCAGGGGACCCATCGTGTTGGCTGTCCCTTTCTTCTCGTGTTCACTGNTCCTCCTCCCCTCCAAGCCAGGGTCCTTGAGCCCTCCCAGCTCACCCCAGTCTTCGCTTCCTCAGGGGACCCATCGTGTTGGCTGTCCCTTTCTTCTCGTGTTCACTGACAGCCTCCCCCGAGGGCAGCCACTGCCTTGACAGCACCTAGCACAGAGCTAGCGCTCCCTCCTGCTGACTGACAGCTCGGGGACTGAGGGGCGGGGCTGCTGCAGAGCCGGGGGACCAGTCCTGGGGGGCAGTGCCGTCATCACCCCGTGCCCCCCTCACAGGGCAGAGAGGAGCCCACACACCCTCAGCACCCCTGAGATTCTGCAAGGAAGGCGGCTCCTGGGGGAGCAGATGTCCGGCAAACCCCACGTGACCACCAGGAAAGGAGGCATCACCGGGGGTCCAAGCTGCTTTCTTAAGTCACTCACTCACTCTGTGGCATCACCTTGAACAGCCTCTAACTAGAGTGCCCAGGTCAACATTCTAGAAATAAGCCTCAGTACACATACACACAAAAACCACTGCAAACACTTAGCAATAAGCAGCCTCAACCATGTTGCTACTAGAAACTTCCAGCATTTAAAGTTACCCCAGACACCAGGGCATCAGAAGCCCTGAGATCTGTAGAAACACAAAGAGTGAGAGGGACCCGGAAGGAAAAGGAGAGGAACGGGAGGGGCAGCTGAAGCCAGAGGGCGCAGGGCGCCCCGTGGGTCTCCTGCAGGAAGAGAGGACAGAGCGTCCACGTGTGTCGCCCAGCCAGACCCCCGGGGTGTGTGTCCCACACAGGAGGCCACACTTGACAGTGACCACGGTGCACATGTGTGTCCCTGGGGCACAGGTGGGCGTGTGGGACGCCCACCTGTCCTGAACGTGCTGTGCCTCTGACCGCCCGCAGGCAGGCCCACCCAGTGGACGTGAATGCCCCCATGTGCACGTGGAGTGCACACGTGTGTGTGTGTGCACACCAGTCAGCAAGAGCCTGCTGCATGCTCAGGTGCATGGGAGGCAGGGTCTCCATACAGAGTGGCCACACTGGGACCGGTCTCTGTATGGCTGTGGGATTTCACTGCATGTGCAGGCAGGAAGGTCTCCATGTGAAGAAGGCTCCCTGACACAGCAGTGCCACCATCACCTCCTGGCTGCACGCCCCCCTCCCCAGGGCGAACCCCTCCCCCGGGGTGTCCGGGCAGGAGGGCGCGGTACTGACCAGGGACTGCAGGATGGCGTGGTTGGTGGCGTTCATGCAGGAATCCAGCGGGAAGGAGCACTCCCCTTCACAGTAATAGGCTGAGTAGCCTTGGGGGGCGATGACCCAGTCCTGGGAGGTAATGGGAGAAGGTGAGTCCCATCCATGCGCCCTCCCAGCTTTTCATCCAGCACCTGTCACAGCACGACTCAGGGCTGCCCCCTCCCTCCCTCAGCCTCAGGACACCTCCCAGGGCAGAGTGTCCCCCCTACCAGGCCAGACATCCACCAAAGTCCCTCGGTGGGCAGAGCTGGGCACGAGCTCCATCCCCTTCAGCGCTCAGCCGCGTCCTCCCCCGCCACCCCGGTCACAGCCCCCCCAGAGGCACAGCCCACCCTGGCCTCAGCTTTCCTGCTGCAGCTCTGACATTTTCGGCTGAGGACTCGGTCTCCATATTCATGGTTTTACAAAACAGCACTTTTCACTATCAAAGCAACACATTCTCCCTTTAGAGAACTTGGAAAACAGAGGAAAATAAAGACAATCCAAGTTCTCCGTGGGTCTGCCTCCCCTGGGACGCACTTGGGGTCTCCAGGTGGGGACGGTCGTTTAGGAAAGAGGAGAGTCGGCACTCACCAGCCAGCCCAGGTCCTGGAAGCTCACGTACAGCTCGTGCCGACGGCACACCTGCCGGCCGTGGGAGCCGTGGACATCGTCTGTGGGGACACGAGGGGCAAGGACTTTGCTGGGCTGCTGCTCCCAGGATGGGGGACGCCATGACGCGCACATTTGTTGAATAATAAATGGTGGGAAACTGACCCATTTGGTCTCGTGAAGCCCATGTCTGCAGCTCTGCTGGTGCCATGACCCAGTTGGAGAACTTTCGATGGCTCTCTATGGTTGCGGTACCCCACACTCAGCCCAGCCTCCCCTGACTTGCAGCCTGTGGGGTCCTGATAATCCAGTAAAAGCCCCGGGGGCCCTCGGCCATCCAGGGGCCCCTCCTCCTCTCCCCCGGAGTCACCCCGACCTCCTCCGCCTGTCCTGCCATGCCCATTCCACAGGACAAGTGGCTCCCGCTGAGGCCAGGCAAAGGCTGGCTCCCGTGGGGGAAGGGCCCCTGGTGGCCTTGACCCGGCGGGGCTCGGCCTGGTGGGGTGACCTCACACACACACCTGGAGCAGCCCGGGGCAGCACTGAGGCCCGCAGGGGCCCCTGGTTCTGACAGAGACCAGGGCGAAGCCTGCTGAGCCCCCGAGGGCAGAGAAGGGACTCGGGCAGTGCGGGCAGCAAGGGTGGATGCGCAGAGCCCGGGGGACTGTGGGAGCGTCGCTCCGCAGGGGCAGGGCAGAGGGTGTCAGCAAAGGCGGCGGGGTGACCGTCGGCCTGACCGCGCTGAGGCCAGAGGGGCTCCGTCCCCGCCTCCGTCCCCAGGCTCACCGAAGATCCCCGGCAGTTTGTTCGGGGGCGGCAGCTCGTTGGTTCTTTTCGGCGGCCTCCTCTTCAGGGGCCTCACCGCTCGAGGGGCTCGGGCGGGGCCCGGGCCGGGGCTCGCCCTGAAAAAGGTGACCACGAAAGGCTGTTTGGAGCGCGGAGCCTGTCGCCCCAGCAGACCGGCCAGGCCAGGATCCACGCTGCGCCCTGAGATGGAGAGAGCAGAGAGGGGTCACTCGGGGGCGGGCGCTGCGCGGGGACACAGCGGGGACCTCTCTGTGGGCGGGCCGGGGGCTCCAGGCTGAGACCTCGGGGCACCCACTGGGCCTGGGTTTCCGCCTCTGAAGACCCGGGTCCCCAGTCCAGCCCCAGCCCCGCAACCTCCCTGCCCGCTCTCCCCCCACCCCACTGCCGGGGCGGCGCGGCCACGGGGTCAGGGAGGGGCCTCGCGAGCGCAGGGTCAGGATTAGTGATGACTGAGGGCGTCTCTGGTGCTAACAGCGCTTTACAGACTTCAGTCAGTTCACGTGAGGCTCTCAGCCGGTCTTCACGGTGACCCTGGACCCATCATTTCACTGAAAAACAGCCGCTCAGTGACAGCCCACAGCCCCACTGCCGGGGACTCTCAGAACCAGGGTCAAACCTCCATCGTGGGGCTCTAGCTCCCACCCTATCCTACATCCTACATCCTGGGGATCAGTGTAGGATTTACAGTGCTCACTGGGGAAAGGGTGGGCTCAGTGCTTGATCTGCTGATACCGCCCCCTAAAGCCCCCAAAGGAGACCCCAGGCTCAGCAGGCAGAGACATTTACTCCAAGTCCCAGAGTCGGGTTCAAACACAAGCATCTAATCCCAGAGCCCAAGTTCTTGTCCACTTATGTTCTTAGCCACCAGGTCTGTGGTTTAAAAAGGAAGAAAGAGAAAAGGCTGCAGGCAGAGACACAACTGGGGCTTTAGCCTCGAAGCAGTGATGCTTGTAAAAGCGGAATTTTACCCACATCCGCTTAAAGCCTGAGGATGCAGGAAAAACACTGATTATCCCTGGAAAAGTCGACTCCACCAATAAAACTATCTTCCTGTACCTCTTTGTATTCCCAGTGATCTCTTGCTTTTTAATTGTCAAAGTGATAGAAAAACAACTGTAAAGAAACTTAGAAAAAATATCACCCATAAGACCCCTTCCGCACTACAATACACCATTTTCACTTTTTCTAGGCTTTCGTTTTTCATGTTAATTTAAATTGTGAGCATAGTGCTGCAACTGCTGAAGCCCGTGTGCCTAGAGCCTGTGCTCTGAAACAAGAGAAGCCACCAGTGAAATCCTCAGGCACCACAAGAAAGAGCAGCTGCACTAGCCGCAACCAGAGAAAGCCCATGCACAGCAACAAAGATCCACACAACCAAAATAAAAAATAGTTTCTAAAAAAATTTTCCGCAAAACAAAGAAGTCCGTATTTTTTCCCCAATTTTTCCACCTAAACATTTTCTCGGTTCTTAAGTCTCAACTATGAACGTTTCAAATATATAAAATTCCTTTGAGTAGATCTGAATATTTAGATATTAGTTCATCTTTAGACATGTAGGTTATTTCCTGGCTTTCATCATAAAGATGAGAATGTCTTTTCCTTTTCCACAAAGGGAATATGTCATTTCCTTTCCTGATGGGATTTTCTCAGACTAAACAACAGGGATGTGACTACAAGCTCACTGTCACATTTCTTAAAACACAAGGCAGAGCATCCCATTTCCACATACATTTCACCCCAATGTTGCGACACCGATGCACAGGCATGTACACACGTGCACATAAACGTATGTGCACACACACACAGGCGTGTTGATATGAAGCAAGTGTACACATTAGCGGGTCGGTCTCATGATCTCCACTGCACACGACATGTCAAGGACATTGCCTGCCCCACACACAACTTACCTCAAAGGTCATCCCTTACACCGCTGTACTTTATGCCCAAGTCCAGGGGCCAGAGTTGACTGAACAACTAATCAACCAGAGACTAACTTTGACCTATGACATCACCTGCCACAACATGCACTGGGCCCATCAGAGGGCTCAGCAGAGATGACCCTGCTGAGACAGGAGCCGACACTGAAGGGGCCCAGGGAGAAGCCGTTCGGGGAGTTTGGATCATGGCAAGTGAGGGACACAGGAAGAGCCAGCCCGTGAGGAGGCGAAGCCACAAGACACACAGCAGCCCCTCCGCAGAGGGAAAGGGCCCGAGGCACCAGGAGGTGGCCAAGGAGTGACACAGGCAGGCGGACGGCTATTAGCCACGCGGCAGTGGAGTGGAGCTCCACGCCCAGCAGACATCGGGGGTGGCCTTGGCCCAGCAGCCCTCTGGGCCTGTGTGCGCAGCCCCGGGCCTGTGAGTCCCTGGAGAGCCCTGTCCATGGACGGGCCAGGGAGACCTTCAGTGCCCCGAGGCTGGGCCCACTGCAGGCTTTTCTTTGTGCAACTGTCTGATACTGGGGTTTCCTGGGCGCAGAGAGGTGGGATCACAGGGCAGGCCTGGGCTGTCCAGGTGGTGGCCCCCAGGCCGCCTGACTCTGGCAGGACCCTTTCGAGCAAGCAGAGCGGGAACTCCAGGAGCCTCTGGGGCTTAGAGTCCCCACTCTATCCCTGAGCTGTGAGGGTGCCGGCAGGCACGCCGTCCCTCTACAGGGGATGAGGGTGTGTGGCCACGCCTGGAGATGGGGGCCACTGTGGCCTTCCCTCCCCCACTGCAGGCACAGATGAAAATGCTGCTCTTCTGGGCCAGGCAGGCCCCCGACACGTCCAGCCTCCTCCCATGTCTGAGTCTTCCCCATCAGGACCCAGGTGTCATGGCAGCTCCCCTGCCCGTCCCATCCCCGGGGACTCAGCCCCCGCCCCCTGGGCCAGGCCAAGATCGCTCCCATCCGTCCCCAAGGCCTCTTTCTGCCCTGGGTGCCACCTGACCTTCCCTGCAGCCCCTGCCCCCTTCTCAGCCTGCAGTCATGGGTGTCCACGTTGAAGGACAGTCAGGACGCCTGGGGACCCTTGGAGGGAAACCAGCTGTGACCAGGCGTGCCTTTGTCCCGCGGGTTGTTTCCTCGCCAGGAGAACTAGGAACGCAGTGCTTTTCCTTCTTTCTACTGTTGACGCCCTCTCACTGCTCTGCTTCTGGAAACCTCTGCCTGTCCTGGCTGCTGCGGGAAGACCTCTCCCGACACCCAGGGCACGTCAAGTCCTCGTCTCAGAAGCCCTGGAAGGTGCTGCACCGTCCACCCGGTGACGCCCATCCCCTGCCCGCCTGGTGACGGTCCCCTGACACCCCGTGGCTGTCCCTTCAGGGGCGCTGTCTCCACTTCAGGATCTGGGCCTCCTGCCAGGGTGAGGCTCCAGGGAGGCCTCTCCGAAAGGCCTTCCTTAACCAGCTGGAGCTTCGTGTTCTTACCCACGAGCTCTGTGCAGCCCTAGGGCCTCACTGAGAAAGCCTGAGTTCCACGGCAGGCCTGACTTTGAACCCTAGACACACACAAACACACATTTTTTTTTTTCTGTTTAGTCTGTGAGACTGTGGATTCAGGATGAAGTACCTCTCCGCCCCTCTTGGGTTTCAAGGGAGTATGAACAAGAGGCCAGTTTAGGCTCCCTGACAGAGCGGAAGGGTCTAGTGTCTGATCTGGATAACACAGGAACACTATGATTTGCGATGAGAAAACCCACTGAAGTCCATCGGTCAGGTTTCTAGAACTCCTCCTACCTAAGTCACAGCCTTTGGCCACACACAGGCAGATTGTTTATTCAGAGGAGACTTCCCTGAGGAATGCTAGCACCCACAGTCTCTCCCCCTTCAGTTGCCCCTGTGACGAGTTTACTGGCCGCCTAGATGGTCTTTTTCCCTTCTAGAGACATCCATTTAGCTACAAGAAGGAGAAATGTGGGAGGCAGAGGAGGTGAGGCTACAAGTAAAAGAGTGACAAAATGAAAGGCCCTAGAAAGAAAGTCAGAGGGCCACAGGAAAAACATCTTTTATTCAGCCGGCATTTCCATTGGTCAGCACTGCAGTGGGCCCCACCCACTCCCCTTCCTCTGTATAAAAGGAGCCCAAATTCGGACTGGGACAAGATAGAGTCTTTTTTTCTAAGACACTAGCTTGCCATCTTCTTGGTCTGCTAGCTTTCTGATTAAAGTCGTTCTTCCTTGTCCCAACAATTTGTCTCCCAATTTATTGGCCTGACATTTGGTGAGCAGAACTAGCTTGGGCTCAGTAACAAATTTTGGTGAGCCAGCCAGGAGCCTTGATGCTTGTGGCTAGCTGGCCCCAGGTGGGGAATTTTCCAGTAAGGCCTTACGGAGCTGCTGGGACCACTTGTCCTGAGGATCTTCCCTTCAAAATTCCCTGAAGTGGCCCTGGCTGCCCCAGTGCATGGCAATTGGAGCAAGGAACTGACATTCGGGAGCCAACAGTTTCCCTATACCTTATAAAACCAGGAAGGTTTTCTCCTCTCAGCTAAGGCTTTTTCCTTTAAGGGAAAAGCCAATTTGTTCATTTGATTGGGATATCTTGTTGGAGAGGGAAATTGTTGGACTCTTCCAGTTGTGAACCAGTTCATTGGGTTTTGTTTGGCATTCATTCAGGATGGAATCTCTTTGTGCTTTTGGTATTGGAATTTGCTGGTGCTTTTTTGTGTTTTGCTGGGTTTTTTTTTATTTTTAAAAGTTATTGTTTACTCATTTATTTTTATTTCTGGCCGCACTGGATCTTTGCTGCTGCACATGGGCTTTCTCTGGTTGTGGCGAGCGGGGGTTACTCCCAGTTGCGGTACATGAGCTTCTCATTGCAATGGCTTCTCCGGTCGCAGAGCACAGGCTCTAGGTACACAGGACCCATGCCCCCTGCATTGCCAGGCTGATTCTTAGCCATTGGACCACAAAGGAAGTCCATGGTTTGTTACTCTGTAACTTATAAATATGGGAAATACAGCTGTCCCTAAGGAAAGCCCTTTGGAGTGTATCTTAAATAAATGGGTAAAAATATAGCTGTGGGCCTATGACTAAGGAAGAGATGATATTCTTCTGGAATAGTGTGTGGTCCTGGGACTTCCTTGGTGATCCAGTGGTTGGGAATCTGCCTGCCAGTGCAGGGGGCACAGGTTTGATCCCTGTCCAGGAAGATCCCACATGCTTTGGAGCAACGCTCGTGAGCCTGCACCACAACTACTG